TTTTAGACCAAATATTACAAATTTGAACAAATACGCACAAAAACATCAAAATTAGCACAGAAACAGTACTATATAACATTTTAGACACATTCTAGACAGTTTATCAGCTAAAAGAAGCCATTTTGTGAAGAAAGACCGTCCAWCATTAAACAGAGGTGGAGGCCTCCGTTTTCAATTGTCCTCCTCCTACAGCGTGGCTATAGCCAGTATCACTCCACCCCCTGTTAACAATAAGTGTTAATCAGGTGTCAACGATAGCCATGTGATGTGAGTATCAGTCACATCACAAAAGCCTGAATTTTGCCTGAAACTCTCAGACTGAAGTCTCTTGGAGAGACGAAACGTTTCATTAGAGAAGAACCCGTCCAGAAGACCTACACAATTTTTTTCTTTTTTATATTTAAGTACAACTTTTAGAAAATGTCTATAATAATATTGTGTTAACACAAAACAACAGCAGTTTGGCTCATAAAACAACTGCAGGTAAATCAAGGGATTCATTAGAGCAGCTGAAAAGTTTAAATTACCTCAACTTAGAATAATCAATCATCATTATACCGTGATTTGACAAAACTACTACTACTACTACTACTACTACTACTACTACTACTACTAATAATAATAATAATAATAATAAGCTTGAGGTCTGTAGATATTTATTTTTAGTGCACCAGAGTTGATGAGTTAACCTGGTTTGCTAAGGCTACAAAAGTTAGCATTGTTGCTAAAGGCTAAACAATAAACGCGAAAAAAAAGTGTCTTTAGAAGTACTTACTGATATTTCCAAACTTCTCAAGTGATCTTCAAAATGTTAGAAATCACCGTTATCAACCGGAAACATCGACCACCATACTTACAAAATAAATTAATAAAAGACGATCACTACATAGCGTGACAAAACAAAAGATGGCGACCGGAAATAACTTATGCTCCGCCCAGCAGGCCTCCTAATGGACATTTATTACAAACAGGTGTAACATCTTTGACAACAATCAGGATATTTTTAACTTTCAAAGCATCTTGTGTGATGATGGTGATGGTGGTGATGATGACGATGACGATGACGATGATGATGATGATGATGATGATGATGATGATGGTGGTGGTGATGGTGATGATGATAAACTTTATTTATATAGCACCTTCCAACAATGCCTTGCATCAACCAAAGTGCTTCACAAGGTAAAACAAATACAAAAAGGTAATAATAAAACAGTACAAGTTAAAAACACAATTACTCATCTATATATATATATATATATATAAAATGCTAAAAATTAAACATCAAATGCCCTTTTGAATAGGTCACATTAGCTCCTGTGCTTTTGAGTAGGTCTTGTGTTCGGCTTTAAACAGGACCAGGTCAGAGATGGCAGCAACTCATAGGGAAGACTATTCCACGCTATTGGGTCAGCAACAGTAAAGGACCGGTCCCCTCATTTCTTGCTCTTAGAGCAAGGCACCTCGAGCAGATGTTGACCGGCAGACCGCAAAGCTCTGCTGGGTTGGTGGATTTTCAAGAGATCCAAAATGTAAGATGGTGCAAGGCTATTCAAGGCTTTAAAAACAAATAACAGCTTGAATTGTATTATATTAATATAATTTAAATACTTTTTGGTTACATTCTTCTTGGTTGCTGTTTTTACATTTTTAATTCTAAAAATAGTAATGTGGATGAATGTGACTATAAAATTTCTAATTTTTTTTCCAAGTATAGACATTTTTAAAAATAGCATTAACTGAGTTGATGGTATTTCAGCTGTTTTGGTCAAATCAACTTTATTTCAATAGCACTCAGATGAGCAGTATGTCATGGCAATGACTCTTAGCTACTACCACATCATATTTTAGTTCATATTTGTAGAAAATAAATACAGATTTTTATATGTATTCAAATACATCCTGTGGTTCAAGGGATGTTTTACTACAGATAAGTGCATACATAAAAACATTAATGCTCACATTTTTTCCTTCAGGCAGTAAGTTATAAAATGTGAAACACTTGTTTTGCGTGTTTCCTATATGACTGTGGAACATATTTGACCTGGTTTTCCACATGCATTTACATGTAAAAATCATGTCCTTTTAACACTGTAATAAATATTCAGGCTTTTCAGGACAGACTTTATCTGCATGACAAATTATCACACCGAGGATTAGGGCGATCTGCTACAAAACCTGACCATGATGAACTTTTGTGGCTCAGTCTAAAGGCAGTAGGGTCAGAGGTCATGTTCAGATCGTCAGGTCTAGAGGGTTGCAACATAAAGAAATCTCATCTGTACAACACACTTGCTCTGATGCAGATCACAACAGACACAGTTACATATTTCTGACAGAACATAATTACAGTGATTCGCCTTTGACTCAAGTTGTGCTTGCTCGTAAACAAAACAAATCTGAGAGGAGAGTGCGCCCTCAACACCTCATTTTCCTATCCAAGCAGATAACTGGAGAGCCTGAGTRAAATGTTTATGTTGACGGTCTTGTGATTGCGTGATACTCCTCTCTCCAACAAGGTGTGTGGTGGAATCCCTTTGTTTCCTCTGCTTCACGTCTGTGGTTTCCAGCGGCCCATCATACCTTCACATCAGCCCAGTTTAGACACCAAGAAAAACCCCAACCAAGCTGGAAGCCCCCCCACCCCCCAGGCCAACAGAGGCCCCATCCCAACGTGTCGGGGCACGCGCCTCCCAAAACCCGGCCGTTTGCCGCTACTCCTCTGCTCGCCTCGTCCCCTGCAGCAGATTCCCTCGGCACCCTGCCTCTCTGGAGGTCCCCGCGCCTGCTTCTCCTTCGTTCAGTTCAGACACGTCGCTCGTGGCTTCCGAGAAGTGAGGCGAGGCAGGCGGGATCAGCGTGGCACACATGTGGTCTACATGCATGAGTCTGTGTGCGTTTCTGTTTGCACAATGCACGTCATAAACCCTCAGGGTTAAGACTCTCATTAGCACCTAGCCAAAAAAAGAATGATCCCTTTCATTTCAGCTGTCCTTACAGATCAAGTGAGGCACATCCTTTGCAAATTAAGACAAATAGGCTGGCAGGTCCACAGCATGGAGTAAAAACATGCTTTGCCTTCAACGTCCAGTGTGGTCGGCTAATTGATTCCATCAGGAAACTTGATTTCAGACCAATGGGAACGATGTTCTGCTGTGCAAAAATGCAACCAGAGATCTGCTCTGTGATAAAAATGCAGTGACATGTCACCTGTTCAGGAGAGATTTTGTTGTGCAAAGCATCATCCACTCCTTCCCACAAAACAAGAGATTAATGGGCAGTAACCAAAACTTAGCAGACAGTGTAATTAAAGCCCTTAGTCATCCAGTCAGCAGACAGAGTGAAGTCAGCAACACTTGAACTCACGGATGGTGGTGGGACTGGGACTGGCACAGGAACTAATGTCGCTTCCTTCGCTTGAGGAAACCCAAGACAAGAACGTGAATGGAGATTGATGAGCGCCGTCAAATGATCAACTTTGCACAGCAACATTTCAGCTTTCAGTTATCTGTTGGAGGGAATGTACTCATCATCTTCATGCTTACAGATGATCAATCTGTTGGTGACCTTACATTTAACCAAAACCATGCTTCAGTTTCAGAAGAGCTCCACTGCTGACCAAAATTCACAAAAATGTATGCTGACCACCCTTAACGTTCCCGAGACAGCAGACACAAAACTGAAGCTTTTTCAGCTCCAGTTACACCATTTTTTTTTTGTGGAAGGGRACCAACAAAATGATCTGCATCTGTAGCAGTGTTTTGAAGCTTTATAGTTAACTATACTTAAAGAACTGAGACGAACGTTCCAGTTTAAACATGAGAATTGTTTGTTGTGTGTTTGCGTCAATCATGGCCGAGAGACAAGTGGCTCCATATGGGCTCATCGTGTTTCATTAGACCAGCTGTAAAAGCAAAACAGACTCGTGTTTCAGTGTTTAAACTCCACTGATCCCCTGATGTAACAATGCTCACCTGAGATGAAAACCCCTGAAGGTTTAACGATATGAAGAAGGCACACATGAGCTGTTAATCTGTCTGAGGAGGGATTATTCTGTTGCAGCTTCAGTGATTTTCGCAGTGAGGTGCAACAATGTGCTGCCCTCATTGGTCATTGAGTTGCACCCTCCGGGAGTCCTCAGGTCACCCTGAGTGGCGCTTTGATCCGATTCTTCCATAACTCTCATGGCCTCTGGCGACACGTAGACCATCGGGACTCTGAATGCCAACAAGTGCTCGAGTGTCTGGTGGCTTTTTCTTTGATATAAAACCAAACATATGTTCGATTCCTTGTGGTCCTTGATGAATGCAGATCATTCGCCAACTTACATGCCATCTTGAGAAATGACAGTTGTTTTGTCAACCTTTAAATATAACATTATATGCAATCTTAGATGTTACATGATATCATAGATGACCCTCAGCTACTACACCAAACTTTAGTTTATTATCAGTAAAACGGAGTTAAAGCCATTTTTGTGTTGGCAAACACTGATTAGTTGGGATGGACATCTTGAACTGAACTAGATGTACATCTGATGATTACTTTCTGAATGTTTCTTAAAAGGAGARATGCAAAATTCACTTTTTAAGCCAGTAAATGCATTTTGTTGTGTACTTGGAGTCTCTAGGACAGGGGTTCTCAAGCCATTTGGGTCTGGGGACRCCTCACAAGMGTGAAAAAGATTCCAGGGCTCCCCTCATAAACCCCATGCTGTTTTAAAAGATAATTTYTRGTCATTTAGTAGTTCATTGTTCTCCATGCATTTTTAAAAATAAAAACCAACTTTACAATTTAGTAAAAAATTTTGAGGACCCCCGAGARATCTCTCARGGACCCCAGTTTGAGAACTTCTGCTCTAGGAGGCAGAAAATTTGTCTCCCACTGATGCAACAATATTTTTCAACCGATTCAGTTTTCTCTATTTTGTATGATGTTTTCTGAACTATTACATCGCAGTATTTGGGACAGAACTGCCAAATAAGGTCTGAACTTACCAACTACAATTTGGTGGTCTTCATTCTCCTCTGGCTCTGGGTCAGACTCTGGCTCCAACATGTAAGGCTGGATGGACAAGCCTTCCCTTGTTGACATTTTTTAATTAATTTGTAAAGAAAAAAATTTCTATGGCACTGTATTTGTAAACCCTTCTATCAAACTAGAATGGACACTGTGTGAAGCTCCTCGTCTGGATTTAAAGAGACAGCCTCAAAATGAGTTGATCTGAGATGCCTCAGAAAAGGGGCGGGGCTTGTGGAATAACAATGAGGAGGAATTTAGGCCAAAGCGTTGCAGTTCCTCTTTATATAGACCCCAACTGAATGATTTAAATGCGAAAAAGAAGAACTTAAAAGCATGAAGTGTCTCCTTTAAACTATCCCATGGGTAAGATATTTGCTGCCAGATCAAAACACACAGATACAGACAAAAACATTATCACCCACCTTTTACATGGCTGACGATGATAAACAAAGCCTCGACATGCTCTTATTTGATGTTTGCACTCTGAGGGGAACTTGTACGGCTCTGTTTGAGCATGTTAAAACACAGGGACGGCAAACATGTTTTTACATCTCTCTTATTTTAAGAAATTCAAAGCAATTAAAATTAATTACCTGAATGAATCTATAATAGTTTCTGGCATCATCCTGCCCGTTTCATGCAGTGATTATTCCCTGTTTAGGCACATCTGCACGCGCCTGCTGGTATGGCTCATAGCTGCATCATGGCACTTATCTGTTACTAGTAAAATCGGCAGCACGCACGGTTGTTGCTGCAACGTCAGGCCCAGCAGAAAACGACTCCTATTTGCACGAGGGGGGCTTTTCTCTAACTAAACAGAGGAGTTTCTGTGTTTCATCTGTTGGATCAACAGATCAGTTCATGCTAACATGTTGGGGAATCTTTGAAAAGTCAGCTTGTATCGCAGCACTGGCGTGCCTATACCCCTCCTGGTATAACAAAAGAGATAAACAAACAGAAACTCTTTGAATAAACTTCATTAAGCAGATATGAACCACAGGGCTGAACTTAGTGTATTATTGTGCCGTCATCACAAACCATTCTTAAATGATGTGAAAACACAAGAAGCATGATAATGTTTTGTCCTAAATATACAAAACTGGCAAAGCGTGGGTACGTTTTTTGCAGACTCCTGCAGACTTTGTGCTAATTTAGTCAACATTCAGCTCATTCAGGAGACAAGTGCTATGAATTCTGTATCTTATATTGTTTACTCTTATTGGTATGATTTCTACAGTAAGTGTGATAAAATGGTCTGGTGTCAAAAATGGATGCATGCAGGATCCGATCATTGTTTAATGGTTTTAACTTTTGAAAACTTTATTCAAATGCATAAAACTGATTGATTAAAGTGACGACACAGCAGAAAACCTTGTCTGACATGTTCAACGTTGTATTTATAGACACAAGCAACCAATTCTTTTTTTCCTTTGTTGCAAAGCGGTATACGACTTCCATCTGCCATTTTTAATTACTTATTTTAAAGGGATCCCCGATTAGTTGAAACACTAGACTTTATTTAATAAACTTATATTTTAACTGTAAAATAAAGACTGTAAAAATACTGTAGGCTGTTTAAGTTTTTATAATTTTTAAACTAAAAGTTTAAAAATATATTACATGGACGGGGCCATTTTACTTACATGCAAAGCATTCTGGGTAAATGATGACGTGGATAGGTCCTCGGTGCGAGGCTGCTAAGCGAGCTATTTCCACCCTGAAGGTTAATCTTGGACAATATCTGATGATCGACTCTTTTAAATGAAACCAGAGAGCGTTGACAGAGAGGAGAAGGTAGAAATGACTCAGCCTGTAACTGAAAATATGGATGGAGGACAACAGAGCTGCTTCATGGAAGAAGAACCTCAGCTTAGCCTGTTAGCTTTAGCACAGACGCTATCACCATATATATGTATTAGCTCAGCGCTACAAATTCTCCTCTCATCACTGAGGTCCTCCATCCACATGACAGAGAGGGGAACACAAAAATGACTCAGTCTGCAACTGAAAATATGGATGGAGGACCTCAGTTTAGCTTGTTTGTCACGCTAGCACCGAGCTAATACATATAAGGCAATATATTGTCAGCGCTAGCGCAAAGGCTAACAGGCTAAGCTGAGGTTCTTCTTTCATTCCATTCCATTCTAACCCTAACCAGCATCCAGTTACCAATGCTTTGCTGTGAAATATCAAATTTTTACTGTAACGTCAAACATTGTCTTTGTAGTTTTTCCTGTGAAATTCCAGCCTCTGCTGGTATTTTACTGTATTTTTACAAAAATAAATGACTGCAATATGTGTATTACCTAACGGCGTGCTCCATCTCTCTGTGACACAGGTCCTTGGCCCTGGGGCAGCAGTACTCGTCTCTGGGCTCCCCACCCATCCTGTGCAGCTCCATCCCGGGCCTGGTGCCCAAGCAGCTTAGGTTCTGTCGCAACTACATTGAGATTATGCCCAGTGTTGCTGAGGGCGTCAAACTGGGAATCCAAGAATGTCAGCACCAGTTCAGGGGCCGCAGATGGAACTGCACCACCATCAAGGACAACTTGGCCATCTTTGGACCAGTCCTCGATAAAGGTACATTTTTAGTGTCTGTGTTCGTAGAGTTCATAAAGTTCTTCTGGTTTGATCTCAAGCTGTGAATAAAGACAGTCGATCTGAGCAAAGACAAAGATCTGGATGAATTAGAATTTTTAGAGGAAGAACTATTAATTAGGCCAAAAAATTTCAGCCTCTTTTTGACATTTAATTTGATATCTGGAGGACTCGCTGCAGTCGCTCTGAGCTCAGTGTTTCTAAGGCTACAGGTTCGAGCCCAGGCTGCGTCAGGAAGAGCATCCGACGTAAAACAACCGCCAGATCTTTCATTCGGCTTCGTGGCGACCCCTGAAGTAGAGAGCAGCCAAAAGAGAAACAACAACATTCAAGAAGTGTTGTGTTGTAACCGAACCTGCTAATTGGAAATGAATTAGCTCGTGTGTCAGAGGGGAAGGAATCTGAGCAGAAACGGGCAGCAGGAGCATCCAAGCTCCCGCGGTCTAATAAAAAAAGTGTGTGTGTGTGTGTGTGTGTATGGGGGTGGGGGGGGGGTGTAAATGAGATTACGGGCAACAGAAAAGGGCCGGGGGGCTCTGCTCAACCCCTACTGTGCATGAAGACCGGTCCACTCCTCACACAGTCCAACTCCCACGGACACTCCATTCACACGCTCTTTTGACTCTGTCATGAAAACGGGCTGAAAGGGGATCTCTCCCAGCCCAGCCTCTGGGACGAGCAGAGGAAAGAAGGAAGGAAGGAGAGTGGATCACTTTCGAAGGGCGACGATTGGAAGAGTTAGAGAAGGGAAGAGCGTGGGCCAATGAGCGGCGCATCACCACCTTCAGCTGCACGTTGGTGGGTGCCTGGAGGCGTCAGTGGCGGCGTACGGGTGGTGGCAGGGAGTGGGGAGGGGGCGCTGCAGGGAATGCCAGCTCTGGGCAGAGCGGGGTTATGTGAGGGGCTGGGGGG